TGGGTAACAAGGTGCAGTGTCACCTGAGTGTCAGTCCAGCCTGGGTAACGTGGTGCAGTGTCACCTGAGTGTCAGCTTCATATTACAACCACATTTGCCTGTTACACTTTCCCCTAAAAAGCCATGCTAACCTGCACCTAGTGACTTGTCAGTTCAGAGCCTGCAGAAGCCACCAGGAGCTGCAGTGTTCGCACTTTTCCCTTACTCTTGGCCCTGTGTCACACTTGCTGCCTTGTCAACTAAAGAGCAGACCCAGGACAGGCGTGCATAGCCTTCAGTTGTCACCTCATTTTCATTTGAGTTTTGTCTGTTTGTTTGTCTGACTGAAACTGAACTAAGATCCCTAAGCCGGCGGGAGTGAAAAAAGGGTGGCAGAGAGCACTGGCTGTGGTCTGTGACTTCAAACTCTTTCTTTATGATATCGCCGAGGGAAAAACGTCGCAGCCCAGCTCTGTCATTAGTCAAGTGATTGACATGAGGTAAGCCTGAGGAATGAAGACAGATGTGTCACAGTAGTGTAAGGCTCAAGGTTTATGGTCTTTCTTTTAGATTACAGTGTTTTAGTAAAATAATTTTGTGTCAGTTTTCAGATTTAGCACTACAGGTACATACTAGAAAGTAGGAAGTTAGGGATGGTTCTAGGGTAAGTTGGTTTATGTATTGAGTATGTGGAACTATACGTCAAAGTTGGAGTCTAAAAGACCAGTTACATAGTAAAAGAGTCCTAACTATGCGCTGTTCAAGTCATCGTCTGAAACTGTAGTGACTGAGTGCAAGTGAAGGGCTAACCCACACCGGCTCCTAGACAACACACTAAAGCAGAAAACACTCAAGAGTCTGTGTTTCCCTAGCGCTATTGTCCAGACTTTCTGTGTGCCCCTCACCACCGTCTTCCTCCTTTTCCTGGAACTTCAGGCACTGCCCTGGGGGTGGGGGAGCATTCTCTCCTACAGCTTCCGGCTCTGCTCCTGATTGATGGGTCCCACATGCCTCCTATTCAGACGTAGCCTTTGCTCAGTGCACACTCCAGCTCTGCCTAGTGGTGTCTGAAGCAGTGAACTACGAAGGGAGTGTCAGGAAGGGGCTTGGCAGACCTGCTAATGGACAGAATGAAAAGTGGGGAGCTAGCAAAGAGCAGCTCCTCAGCCCAAACGATTAAGGATAACATGGACAGCAGCAAAATGCTTTGTTACGACTAATGTCAGACAGAGTCAGGACTTCTAAGGCAAAGGGAGTGGGGGTGGCGCTGCCGACAGCATCACAGGACAAAGGAATAAATCACTGTCTTAGGTTGGAAGGCACAGCACACATGAAATTTACTATGGCAAGCAAGAGAGTCTACTGGGGACTCCTGGGTAAAAGCCTCTTCTGGCTGTGTGCTTCCTGGTCTTGTGGGCCTTAGTGAATCAGCTGTCATGTCTAGTATAATGTACCACTGCCAGGTCACTCCTGATGAATTACCTTGAGTACTGCTAGCCATTATGTAGGGGAGTCTTGTGTTTTGGTTTTTTTGGTTTGGTTTGGTTTGGTTTGGTTTGGTTTGGTTTGGTTTAAATTGAGCTTGTATATTTATACAGTTAAACTTTGAGGATTGCTTCATATATGTTATTTGGGTATATAAGCAAAACCATACACACACAGCAACATGTAATCTTAAATGCTTAACTTTTATTTCAGAGATGAAGAATTTTCTGTGAGTTCAGTCTTGGCTTCTGATGTTATTCATGCAAGTCGAAAAGATATTCCCTGTATATTTAGAGTAAGTCTATGAATGACTTGAGCAGTTATATACATGGGGTTTGTGTTCATGTGTTTGTGTGAACATGTATGTGAAGGCCAGATGGTGGCATCAGGTATCTTCCTTGATTGCTCTCCACGTTGGTTACTGAGATGGAGTCTCACTGAACCTGCTGCTCACAGCTGTGTAGTTTAGGTAGCCAGCTTGCCCCAGCAGCCATCACTGGCTCTACCTCTGGAGCTCTGGGACATCAGACAAGCCTACCTAGCTTTTACCTGACCCTCAGGTTTGTGCAGCATGTGCTTTATCCAGCGAGCCGACTCTCCAGCACCTAATTATTTGTTTTTAACTGCTCTGTGTAAATCATAAAGTTACTAGAACAAGACCTAGTGCTCATTTATATTCCCATGCCATCCAGTATTCACATGAAGACAGAGCTGTGCTAAGACTTGTAGAATACACCAACATGTTTCTAAAGTATTCTTCATGTTCTGTAATATTTTTGAGTCCTAGTTAACCTTCAAATAAATATTACCACATGCAGTTTTTCAAATTTAAAAAAAAAGGTTGGTCTCTGTAAAATTCTTATTGTAAAAATTGTTTATCAGTTGTCTACTTCTTTGTAACAAATATTCCAAAACATGAACAGCATTCGTTTGTCACTGTTGTGTGGTGCTGGCTGCTCCTCCTGTGCTGTATCCAGCTTCTCTGGGGCAGGAGTGTGCAGAAGAACCTTTCTCTTGTATCTGCAGCTTTGGTGCTGCCTGGCTGTATCAGTCCTCTTCACGTCCTCCCTCTCTCATAACTGCATACAAATAATTGCTAACGCCCATCTTGGTGAATTAAACAGTATAAATTTGTAAAACAATTCTGTTGTTAGAACTGTCCTACTTCCTATTTGTCTATGAATCTTAAATCCAAGGAAGATCAAAGATTAAACCTAGTCTCTTACTTTCCAGATGACCACTGTTTATTCTCCCCTAGCTATCAAGGGAGCCTGTAAAGGTTCACTTACCTGTAACTAATTAACAGTAGAATTGTATTGTCACTCATGTTTAAAGCATGTGTATGTATATAAAGGGTCTCTATACATATATGTAATATATGTGTATATTATATAAATAATAGATAATAGCTTTAAAGTGCTCTGATTGACTTGTAAACTTTATTTGCATACTGTTTCTAGTGATCTAGTCTTCTTTAATGATAACATGAAAGGTTGTCAGGAAGCACTAAGACTTTGAACAGTCTGATGTAGTACTTCAGAGCATTGAGACATGCTGTAGCTCTATGCCCTTGAGAGCTTACTTACTTTCCCTTTATCATGGATTCTCATAGATCCACTTAGATTATAATCATGCTTGTTGTCTCATGAAGCTGCTACGAGGGTTAAATGAGTTAGTACTTGTAAAGTACTTTCTTTCTGGTACTTGATAATTTTGTCAGTTATTAAATTAGTGTCTGTGCATTTCTATGGTATTTTATGGCATTATGTAACACAGAGCATGAAATGATAGTAACATTTCAACTTGTATCACCTCCTGCTGTTTGAATTGTAGTGTTACCATGAGACACTTTCATTCAGTGTAACTAAAGTGAGCTAAAGTGATAATTTAATAAGTGCTCATTTTACTGACGAATGCTAAGCAAATGAGCATAATCCTGAAGCTAGCATAAAAGATGTCTGTTTCCTAACATTGTAACTATTAAATCGTTTTAGGTCACAGCTTCCCAGCTCTCAGCACCTAGTAACAAATGCTCCATCCTGATGCTTGCAGACAGCGAGAATGAGAGGAATAAGTGGGTGGGAGTGCTGAGTGAACTCCACAAGATCCTGAAGAAAAACAAGTTCAGAGACCGCTCAGTGTATGTTCCCAAGGAGGCGTACGACAGCACCCTACCCCTCATTAAAACAGCGCAGGCCGCTGCCATCATAGGTAGGACTCTATAATCACTACTCAGATTGTCATACTGTTTGCTGATCTATGTTTGAGCTGGCACCAGCTTTCACGTAGGGGTCCCCAGTGTCTGGGATAATGTGCAGAGGTCTGTGTCGGGCTGGTGGGTTAGCACTTACATGAGTGGAGTGCATCGGCTTCCTAAAATGCACTGGTGCTAAAAGTCAAGCTGCTCATCTTTTTCTGCTTTGGTGATTGGAACAAGTTAATTCCTAGAGTGCAGGCTTCTTTTATAATGTGTAACTGAGGAGTTGGAAAGCATAGTGTGCTCAGCCTGCCACCAGCAAACAGCAGCTCCCAAGGGTGGATGTTTCCCTTCTGCTCTGCTCTGAAGTGCATGGCCCACTTCCCTGCTTTCTAGTAAACAATGGAAGTCTAGTGAGTGGGAGTCAGATGCCTTTCACAGTGTTTCTAGAGTGGATGCTGTCTGCAATACTAACAAACTAGGTTTTTAATTTTATTGTTATTGAATAAGCATTTACTTCTTTTGATAGGTACTAAAGCAGATTTTTAATTGTTAGTTCTAATTTAGAAGGTATGAGATATTTGCCACTGTAATCTGAGAGGAAATATTTTGATATTGTTAATTTATCTTCACTATTGCACCAAATGTTCTCATTATCTGGTTTATTCTAGAATCTTTTTTCCCCCTTCCCTTCTCCCTCTCGCTTTGGCCCTGTTCACTCTGGCCCAAAGGTTTTTATTTATGTAATTTATGTATGTATTTATGTATTTTATTTATGTTTTATATGTAAGTACACTATAGCTGTCTTCAGACACCCCATAAGAGGGCATCAAATCTCATTACGGATGATTGTGAGCCACCAGGTGGTTACTGGGGATTTGAACTCATGACCTCCAGAAGAGCAGTCAGTGCTCTCAACCGCTGAGCCATCTCACCAGCCCTGGAATCTTTACATTACTTTTATCTGATGAAAATGTTTTATGTTTGTGTCTTAAATAGATCATGAACGGATAGCTTTGGGAAATGAAGAAGGATTATTTGTTGTGCATGTCACCAAAGATGGTAAGAGAAAACCCAGTTATTCCAGAGTAACCTTAAATTATTAGAAAACTCCTGAACCTAGAGTTTAAGAGCAGGATTTTTTAAATCAAAAGATTTCTGGTTTTCTTTAGTTTTTGCTCTTTTGAGACAGGGTTTCACTCTATAACTCTGGTTGTCCTAGAACTCACCCCGTATACCAGGCTGGCTAAACTCACAGATCTGTCTGTTTCTTCTCCTGAGTTGTGGTCTTAAAGGTCACCCAGCTTTAAACCAAAAGATTTGTTCAATTCTATTATCCCTTTTAAGTTCCAAAGCCTCTGTCGTGTGTTATCCCTCCCGTCAATTGATTGAGCAGTTCCACTGTGTCGAAAGACGGCACATAAAAGAGAACTACAAAGTACTCTCCATTCTCAGTAGTGCTTTAAGAGGTCAGGGCTGAAATCCCCCTGGTTCAGTACAGTAGGTTTTTAGCTCCCTAGGGGGAAATTAAGTGCTGAGTGAAATAAAGCAAAACCAATTGAGTTTGCTATTCATAAACATAACATCTTAAGCTCTGTCTTTATATCAGGTTAGATCTTGAGAAAGCAATTCATTTAAACTTGATGAGTTTGTTATTCATAGCAATACCATGAGAAGGTTAGGAAGATTTGTCAGTTAGTGAAGTACTTGCCCTGTAATCATTTGATTCCCAGAATCCACATAAAAAGCTGGCCATGTGTGTCCTTGTGATCACAGCACTGGGAAGGCAGAGACAGATGTACAGACTTGTTAGCACTGGCCAGCCACCCTAACCTAATTATCAAGCCCCTGGTCCCAAAGAGAGAGCCTGACTTAGTAACAGAATGGGAGTGAGCAAGATAACCCAGCACATGAAGGTGCCAAGCAAGCCTGGTAACCTAAGCTTGACCCCTGGGCCCACATAAAGGTGGAAGAAGAAAAGTGACTCCACGGGCATTGTCCTCCGACCAGCAGACCCATGCTATAACATGCACCCACACACATCCACAAGTTAAAATTGAAATTTAACAAACAAACAAACAAACAAAAAACCTCAAGGCAGACAGCTCCTAAGAACGAACACCCTAGGCTAATTTCTGGTGGCTACATACTTGTGCGTGCATACGTAGCCACACATACACACAAAAAAGAAATCCGAAGAGGTGGTGCTAGAGAGATGACTCAGCTGTTAAGAGCTGGCTGTTCTTGTAGAGGACCCAGGGGTTCAGTTCCCAGCACCCACATGGTAACTCATACCATTTGAACTTATGTTCCAGGGGATCTGCTGCTTTGTTCTGGCTTCTATGGACATAGGCATGCAAGTGATTCACAGACACATGTACACAAAACATCCATAGACATAAAATAAAACTTAAAAAGAAATACCTAAAGAGAAGCATGAGTTGCACTGTTACTTAGATTTTAAAAATAGGAACTTCATAGTGAAATTACTAGATTTTAGTACCAAAAAAACAAACTTTGTGAAGCATAAGTATACTTTATACGGGGATTTCTTGTCTTGACTGACAATAGATCTCAGTGCTGAACCTAATATCAGTGGGCTAACTGATCTGATAATGGGTTTAATTATCTTCCTTTTTCTCTCTGTGATTTCTGGCCTTTATTACTTTTGTATGTATGTGTCTTTAATATGGGTTGGGTTATATGCTTTGGGGTTTGATTGGATGCATTCATTTAATTTTGTTGTTTCTTCCTGTAGAGATTATTAGAGTTGGTGATAATAAGAAAATTCATCAGATTGAACTAATTCCTAGTGACCAGCTCGTTGCTGTGATCTCAGGCAGAAATCGGCATGTCCGACTTTTTCCTATGTCAGCTTTGGATGGACGAGAGACGGATTTTTATAAACTGGCCGAGACTAAAGGTTGCCAAACCATAGCTGCTGGGAAAGTGCGCCATGGAGCTCTGTCCTGCCTGTGTGTGGCCATGAAAAGACAGGTCCTCTGCTATGAACTCTTCCAAAGCAAGACCAGGCACAGGAAGTTTAAGGAGATTCAAGTCCCATGTAATGTCCAGTGGATGGCCATCTTCAGTGAACATCTCTGTGTGGGATTCCAGTCAGGATTTCTCAGATACCCCCTGAATGGCGAAGGAAGTCCATGCAATATGCTCCATTCAAATGACCACACACTGTCATTCATTACACACCAACCAATGGATGCTATCTGTGCAGTTGAGATCTCCAACAAAGAGTATTTGCTGTGTTTTAACAGCATTGGGATATACACGGACTGCCAGGGCCGAAGATCTAGACAGCAGGAACTGATGTGGCCAGCAAATCCTTCCTCCTGTTGTAAGATTCTCTCTCTTGTTGTCTGCCTTCTTCCCTTTTTGCCTTTCCATTTACTTTAAATATAATTTAATCACTTTTACTAACAGCTTGTTTTTTCAATCATTCTTAAGGTCTTCCGCAAGTACTAATTATGTTACTTATGTAAAATAATCATATATTGTAAAACCTAGACAAACAGGCTCAGTATTAAATGCTTGTAAGTAAAACTAATCCTTCTGTGGAAAACCTACTGGGATACATTTTTTTTTAAATCTCCATGTTGTTGTATTCTGAAATAATCTCAAATTTTTCTCTTTATTGTCACCCCAAGTACAGTGAGTGAGTGTCCTTAAGTAGCAGTAGCATGTAAGATTTGTGCTGGGGAAGTTACTAAATGAATTCTCAGAAGGTAGAATGTAGCCTTTATTAGAATTGTTACTCAGTTTTATATTTTATAGGTTTGCTTTAGTTAGGGTTTTACTGCTGTAAACAGACACCATGACCAAGGCAACTATTGTAATGGACAGCATTTAACTGGGGCTGGCTTACAGGTTCAGAGGTTCAGTCAAGTATCAAGACAGGAGCATGTCAGAGTCCAGGCAAGCATGGTGCAGGAGGAGCTGAGAGTTCTACATTTTCATCTGAAGGCCACTAGAAGACTGGCTTTCAGGGTCTTAAAGCCCACGCCCACAGTGACACACCTACTCCAACAAGGCCACACCTCCAAATAGTGGCACCACTTCTTCTAAATATATTCAAACCACCATAAGTTTTATACATAGATTTAAATTTTCTTACTTCACATTTTCTGTAAATATTAAAATATCACTATATCTTTTAATACTTTATCACAGAATGATAATAATCAATACATATTATTTTACTATATGAGATGAAGTTGTGAGTGAAATAGATGCAATGCAGTCTGCCCTCACAGCATGGGGAAGACTCCTGACAGAACAGTAGGATGCCATGTTACAGGTGCCTTCAGCAGAATCTGATCCACAGTGCTCTGTTTGTAATGGAGATCTCTTGAGCCTGTTTGAGTGCTGGGAGGGAAGAGCCACTGGAGGGTCAGAGGGTGGAATTCAGAGTTCTAGTAAAGCACTACCAGAGCAGGAGGAGGGTATTGTTCCTCTCCCCTGCAGTAGGAACGATACAATGAAGGCATGAGGGGTGCGGCCATCCAGGTAAAGCCAAGTGAGAGAACATGGACCAGCACAGTGAGGCTTATAACAAAAAAGCCAGGAAATCTGTAATCAAAGAACAGCCAAACCCTCTAAACCTACCACTCAGATTTAACTATTTACAGTGTTTGCTTTCTTCTGAAATGAACATTTTTATCAGTTACATAATGAGTCAGATGACCCTGAGCATCCTAATGTGAAGTAAAGAATGAAATTGTCTAACTCATTCTGTGAGTAATCTGTTGGTATCCATCGTTCAAGTGAATCACGTACTCTTGGCTTGTGTCACCATTTCTTCCACAAGTATGGAGTGAGCATACTTGTCATGCAGCTGTAGGTGACACGTCTGTAGCACACATGTCTCTAGATACACGTGTCATCATCTGCTTTTCCATTCTGGAATAGAACACTTAGGTGAACATTTCTACACAGTGTGTTTGTTTCACTGTCAAGAGTTTAACTGCTTTAAAAGCCCAACGCTTTGAAGTGCGAAGGGCTTTCTTGTTGGATGAGGTGTGTTAATTGACTCCTATGCTGAGCTTTATCAGTTAAGCTGTAGGATATCAGTTCTTTCTTTATGATTTATGTGTTGTGTACTTCAAAATATTTTTAACATTATTCTTATATAATAACTGTGGGGTTTTGAAAAACTCCACTTTATAGTTGCTTAGGATAGATCTTTCAGAGTATTTGGGGTTTACTAGTTCACAATAATCAGCAGTCTATGCCTTTCTTCCTTCTTTCCTTCCCCCAGGTTACAATGCACCGTATCTCTCCGTTTATAGTGAAAATGCAGTTGATGTCTTTGATGTAAACTCTATGGAATGGATACAGACTCTTCCTCTCAAAAAGGTAATGGAACACTAAACTGTGGGCCAGATGGTTACTTTTTAAGTTTTTCCTTGGAAAAATTCATTGTACCTAGTAGTATGTTACATAACAACATTTTCATGAGTATATATTATACATAGGCTTACTACCCCTGAACAACTTCCTTTTTCTACCCACTCCCTCTTGTGAGGGTATCTGCAGTCACCAAGGCCAGCAGTGTCAGTCTGCTGAGGCAAGAGGGAGTCTGGGTCAGTGTGACTCAGTAACTACTCTGGTTCAGACTTCAAGAGGCTGGTGCTGGGTGGTTTATTTCAGGAACATTCAAGCCCAGCACAGTTTGGAAAAAGCTTCCTGGTGACAATTAACTCAGTCCTATGTGCACAGTAAAGCTTAAGGCATGACTATAATGACATCTTTTTGTAAAGTACATGTGACATCTTTCATACAGATGGCTGTATAGATTGACTACATGTGACATCTTAAGGGTCTTGGGGGCAGGGGGAAGTCTGATGTTGTCTCAGTCCTACAGATTCTGTAAATGTGACCAAACTATTAGTCACCTCTGCTTCCAGCCTTGGCAAAATCAGGTTATATATCTCTCCCTTTGAAGAGACAACCCTGTGTGTTTAACATTCCTGGTTCCCCCCGTGTCTATCTATGAGCACGAGGACCCTGTGTCTCCTGCACTCCCCTTCCCCTTTGTTTCCCTAAAACAATAGTGCTTCTATTTTTGCATCATATATCCATAAGTGATTTTATGTATCTATATAAAACCTAAGAACTGCATAGGAGACAAAACCTGCGGTATTTGTCTTTCTGAGAACAGCTTAACTCTAAGCTGGTTAGTTTATGATAGGTAGCTCAGTACCATAATATATGTGTTGCATTGAAATTCTTCCATAAGAAATCTGATGGCTAATGATGAGCAGGTAGAACATATATGACAACTAGAATGTCAATGTCGCGTCTTCTACTTTTAGGTGAAGGAGCTTAGAGGAAGTATACTATACAAACCCAACAGCCAGTGATTGACCCCTTGATTTTATGGGCTAGAAATGTGAAACAAAACTGTTTAGGTGTCTTAATGATTTAAGAATAGTGATTTTTCATATTCCTAATAAAACATATTTTCCATTAACACTTCTAATCCATAATAAATATTTTACAAGTACAGAATTGCTGTTTGTAGAAATGAAAAGTAATGACCATTTTATATAGATGTATTTGGTGTATATGGTGTGTATGCCATTAATTGAGAGTTAGGTTAGAGAAACAAGTGAAACAAGACAGCCAAGATAGTTAAAATCATGCCCCAAGTTTAAGCCATACTAGTAGTATAAATTCATAAAAATTGCTACTTTATATAAAGCAACAAAAAAAAAACAGTTCTCAAATTTGGTAATTTGGGCTGGCCATAGTTCTTTATTTCATTTTTGTCATATAACCTTTGCAGTATGCCAGTGTATGTCCTGTAAAGAGAGTAGCTTGTGAGCTCTGCTCCTTCCTGAGACCAGCGCCCCAGTATCCCGGCATCCACATGCACTGTCTTTGTCCCAGGCTCTTCACAGAACAGTGCTGTCCCAGATGGTGTGCTCATCATCCTGCTGCTTGCCTTAGGAGAGACCACTTAGAAAATTTAACTATTACTAAAAAAGTGGTATTCCATTTTCCTTGGTTTTGCAATTTGTTAAACTGTTGAAATTACCACTTTTTTCCTTGCTGTCTTTGCTCATTTATTGCATTTTAAAGATGCATACATGTTGTTATATATACATCCAGTTCATTGATTTTTTTCACTACTATAAAACCATCTTTTAAATGAGTAGTGTTTATCCATTATCCAGTTGACAGCATTACTTCTAATTCTTTGCTATTGTCACCACTTCTGTATAGGTCCTGATGAAGGTGTGGGGGAATGTCTTTACCCCATCAGCCTCACAGTGGCATTGCTGAGGCATGGGGACTGCAGCTATGGAACCTTATGCAATAGTGCCATGTTCTTTTCCAAACCATTACTACAAATGACAGTCACATCCACATCATCTACAGGTTCTTTCTGACCCACATCTTCCCTAGCATATCATTTTATAAATTAGAGTAAATTGGTTCATCACTGAAGTATGCGTGCATGTCCCGGTTAACTGTGTTTATCACATTTTATACTTTGTCTTCCAGGCTGTCTTAGTTAGGGTTTTGTTGCTGTGAAGAGACCATGACCAAGGCAACTCTTATAAAGGAAAACATTTCATTGGAGCTGCCTTCGAGTTTCAGAGGCGTTATCAGTCCATTATCATATCATCATAGCAGGAAGTGTGGCAGCAGGCAGGCAGACTTGGTGCTGGAGAATCCAAGAGTTCTACATCTCTTTGTAGGCATCCAGGAGGAGACATCTTCCTCAGCAGCTAACAGTAGACTCTCCCACACTGGGTGGAGCTTGAGCACTAGGAGATCTGAAAGCCCACCTCCAAAGTGACACACTTCGTCCAGTCAGGCCACACCTCCTCCAACAAGGCTGTACCTCCTAATAGAGCCACTTCCTACTGGCCTATGGGGGCCAGCTACATTCAGACTACCACACAGGCAATGCCTGGTCATGTTTGCTCATTTTGTTGTTGAATTTGCCAATTTTTTTCTTCCCAGCTTATTGAACTTCTTTTGTGGATCCTGCGTTACTAACACACAGAATGAATCTTTGCCATCTCTGTGATGTCTGGTCATGCTCATGGAATAGTCTCCTCAACAGAATTATTAGCTTTCCTAAAAATAAGATGTTATTCTTGTTGTTTAGGTGTTTCCTTTTTCTGTTCTTAAAAACTTTTCAACTTGAAGACCATAAAGATACAACCTTTATTTTCTTCCAAGTTTCTGTTTCTGACTCCTCCATGTGGCTGTGTGCAGTATTCTGCGCATAATAGACTTTTGCTTGCTGCCCGTGTGGCTGTGATCCTCTCAGAACTAACTTGTAATGTAGGTGTGAGGTGGGGATCTGGTTGTGTTGTTTTGTATGACTGGTTCCTGCATCACTGTTTTATCAATGGTCCCTTTTCTATCAGCACTTTCTTCTCCACATGTGTGGGCCTATGCTGTTTAGTGATAAGAATTTATAAACCAGATGTGTTCTTTCCTGATTTAATTTTTTTGGTCACATTTTTGGTGGCTTTTAAAGGGTGAGTTTTAAGGTTTATTTATTTCTACTTGATTTTATTTGTCCATGATAGAGTTCCTTTAAAACATTATTGTCATAAGCTAGTTTGTTTAAATTATATGATAAATTACTAACTTGAGACTTTCAGAAAGAGCTATATTTTGACATAGGTAGGTGAAAGCTCTTAATAGTATTTTCTTAATAGACTAAAACATTTATGATTAAATTTTTAAAAGTTTTACTGGAATATTAATTTTGTTTTTATTATTTTAGGTCCGACCTTTAAACACTGAAGGATCATTAAATCTTTTAGGTTTGGAGACCATTAGATTGATATATTTCAAAAATAAGATGGCAGGTAAGGAAATATATTAATAGGATCATTTCAATAGAAATCTTACAACAGTCCAAGGCATTTAGGTAGTGCCTCAGCCCATATTTGTATCAGGCACTCTCACTCTGCAATGTGTGATATTTCTGTCAAACCCTGACAAGACAGTAAAGACGAGCTGTAAACAATCTCTTTACGCCTGTATGACTATATAGGTAGAATGTCTGACTCTGACACATGTTGTTTTACTGAGGAACACCCAGGCAAGGAGAACAGTGATGGCCAGGTGTGTCTGCTGCGCCTGTGATACCGTAGACCTAGTCATTAGGCCTACATTAGGAACACTTGTCCAGAGTCCCAGTTGGAGACTTCAGGACCCCATCTCCAGCCATTCCACAGCATCTCTGAAATACTGAAGACAATCTAGGAGAAGGTTAAGAAGGTCACAGGAGTGAGTCCCCAGAGTAAGGACTTAGAACAGGAATCCAGGAAAGTGAAGGTGGAAGAAAATAATCGGTGGAAAGTGGGATGTTTCTCGGGGAGTAAGACGACTCAGCAGTTTAAAGGGCACGCTTCTCCTTGAGAGGACTAGAACCACCAAACTACTCGTTACAGGACAAAGAGGCAGTGTGAAGATAGTGCGGGTAAAGTGGCTGGTTAGTACCATGACACCAAGACAGCTATAGTTTCCTCCAGCAAAAGTGTAGCACCTTATACTTACAATCAAAAGTGAGGCTGTGTTTGTAAGCTATGCTAATTTCAGCATGTATCTTTTTGCATATTCCACTGAAAATTATTGCTTGCTTTCTGATTTTTAGTACATAATTCTTTAACTATCACAGTTGTGCATACTGTACAATTGATTGCAACACCACAGAGATTAATGGGTAGGAAGAACTTTAACAATCTAAACAATATTATTATATTCTTTCTCACAGAAGGGGATGAACTTGTAGTTCCTGAAACATCAGATAATAGTCGGAAGCAAATGGTTAGAAATATCAACAACAAACGGCGTTACTCCTTCCGAGTCCCAGAAGAAGAGAGGATGCAACAGAGGAGGTATGCAGTTAACTTGTGCCCAGTGTCCATCCATGCTGCTGTCACCCAGAGAGCAGTCTAGAATCAATTTAGAAGAAAGAGTCTCTGAAAATTTGTCACTCAGCTGTGGTCAAAATTTGTAGAGTCAGAGTAGCTTATTGGCAGAGTATTTGCCAAGCATGAGTAAGTCCCAGGAATCTATATCTCCCAATTACAGAGGGATCCCCTAGTAATGAGTGGCACCCCTCAAAGTTATGAGAATAGAGTACCATATTTTCACTCATTTCTGGGTGTATATAGGACAGCTGTAATTTATGGCACATGTAACTCTGTAATATAAATCATCTGTGTAGATAGCAAACTTATATATGCTTATGAAGTACAGAAGCCAAGCATGGTGGCTCATGCCTATAATCTTAACACTCAAGAGGCTAAGGCAGGAGGATTACCTTGAGTTTGAGGCTAGCATGCCCTGAGCTATACATTAAGATTCTTTCAAAAAAATAAAAATAAAAAGTAAAAAGAGAGAAACAAAGACATTCAGATTAACTTTATTCTCCATGAGCAAGCAGATGTAGCTATATTTAAAAACATTTCTAGGGCTGGAGGGATGGCTCAGCAGTTAAGAGCACTGACTGCTCTTCCAGTGGTCCTGAGTTCAATTCCCACATGGTGGCTCACAGCCATGTATAATGAGATCTGATGCCCCCTCTTCTGGTGTGTCTGAATATATGAAATAAGTAAATAAATCTTTTTTAAAAAAATATTTCTAAAACATTATCTATTATAAAAGATACACATATAACTTTTTTAAGTTATCTGCAAAGTAGAGCAGGAGATCTTTCATCCAAGGGCTGTAGCTGAGCAATAAGCACTTGTTACATGTATATGTCCCCGACTTTGGTCCCCAGCACTGAACAAATTACACAAACCAATAAATCCTAAATCTCAACATCTTCTTACTTAAAATTTAAAAAACAAAGTAGTCTAAGGAGTTGAACTATTAATATATTATTATTCTAATTATATCTTTATTTTTATAAACAAAGTATGCCTAATTTTTTAAAGTTATATTGATTAAATGTGGAAATACTGTCTAAACAGGCATTCTACCTTGCAGGGAGATGCTACGAGATCCAGAAATGAGAAATAAATTCATTTCTAACCCAACTAATTTTAACCACATAGCACACATGGGTCCTGGAGATGGAATACAGATCCTAAAAGACCTGCCCATGGTAAGAGGCGTGAAGAGTGGTGTGAATATGAACGGCGTGAGGAGTCAGTGTCAGCTGTCAGGGGAAGTATGGACACATAGGCTCACATACATGCACTGCTTCATAAAACGCGCTACCTAGCGAGGACGTGTTCTTTCAACATGACACAGGATGTCTAAGATGCATGGTGACATCTGATGGACGAAATTAGAGTTCAGAAATCTGACCAAAATTCTTAACCCAGAAAGTTTTCCATTTTGCTAAGTTTGCTACTGTTGGTGAAAAAAAAAACAACAAAAAAACAACAAACAAACAAACAAACAAACAAAACAGCCGTACCTGAAAGGTTCTGTGACGAATGCCAGATGCAGTTCCCAGAAGGTTAAGGTTTCACTCAGTTGAATGTAGATCCTTGGGTGTTTTCTCCTCAGAAGTCCACACGGCTTCATCCTTCATAGTCACACCTCTCAGCTAACTGTGAAATTCAGTCTGTTCCTTTGCTCAAATCCAATCATGTTTCCTGGTTAATGATATGTAAAAAGAAGTACTGCACAGGAAGACTGATGTATTTTAACATGAAGATTGTATCCACAGACCCATTATGCTAGGTTAAAATTACTAGTAGAACTGGGTAATTCTCCAAGCTGTCTATTCCTGGTGTGTCAGTGTCATACACTTCTAGCAGATGGCTAAAATCCAGAGTGACCCTTGGATCAATACGGATAGCTGCTCAACTGGGCAAAGGGGTTTCAGAATCATTGTTCTCTTCTGGCAGTTTTGGAGACAGCTGTGAATACTGACCTAATCTCTCCTAAGGACATCTGTCTAAATTTCCTTAGCAACAAAACAGTAGGAGAAAGGAGAGAGAAGGGATAAAGTGTGCTGTGTAATCAGAATTGTATTGTCAAAGTTAGGCTATAAAGGGGTTTTTATTCATTTCCTGGAAAGAAAAATAAGTCTACATTCATCTCAGTCAGAGTATTTAGTTGTAAATATCCCAGTCACATGGTTGTGCTTTCTTACTCTTTTCTCATTTCGGGGGGAGAGGTGGCCACAACAATATTCCTTTGTTGAGTTCAAATTAGTCACATTACTCACATTCAGATTGTTCCTTTGGGATCTGTCGGCTATGGGATTTATTAGCTGTGCTGGATAAATGTAAAGTATGCACCAACTAGATCACAGCGAAGCCAAGCAAGCAGCTCAAAGTCAAGCGTGTTCAACTCGGATCTGCTGTTCGTGTTGCTGGTTTGTACGCTGTTCTGCTTTCCAACTTGTACCTAGAGGGAGAGCGCACTAGGGAGAGCACAGGTGTCTCCATTTCCCACACTAACAGTGCTCCAGAGTCCTCCACTGCCCTGTCGTCACCTGGACAGTGCACACAGTGCAGGCCTGAGGTCAAGCCTCTGCCGTTGCTGTTCTTGCTATTTTGTTTTTCTAAGTGGAAGTTATAAGCCAGGCACAAAATGCTTTAGTATAGAGAACTTTTTGAAGTATAATAAACAGGTAAATGTGACTGTCTTCATAGGGTGTGAGAGACCAAGTGTGGAGCACTGTTTTAACAAGTTTTGGTAGTTTTCTCATGAGTGTAGAGTATTGAGGAATGGAGAGAGAACCAACTTTAGACATAAAAATATGTTGTTGAATAGCATGCCAGCTAAATCAAACTAAGTTCAACAGTAGCAAGGTTTTGATAGATAGTAACTTTTTAAATTAAAATCATATTTTTAAATATGTAAAAGGAATTATAGAAAATGCTTGTACAAATTTTGTTGTACCCTTATATTGCAGTATTTCCCCTTAAGGTAGTATAATCTCAGGAGTATTGTTCGGCTTGGGGCCCAGCAGGTGAATTGTTTCTGTTCTGAAGGTCTTCCCAACCTTCACACACAATGGGGTGTGGACCTTGGACTCGAAATCAGCAGTTTCATATTGTAAGAAACTTTAAAGTACCCCCTCAGGTTTACTTTTTTTTGTTTAATCTTTTTATTTTTGTTTTTGTTCTTATTTTTTGAGTCAGGGTCTTACAGTCTGGCCATGTCTGGCCTGGAACTCTCTATGAAGACTAAGCTGGCTTCAGACTCATAGAGATCCAACTGGCTCTGCCTCCAGAAACAGAGGCCTGTGCCATTGCACCAGCCTAAGTAAACTCTCTCCCTTCAGTCTCTTACGCTTACATCTTTTGTTAGTTTTGAGATAGAGGATTTTGTTAGCTGGCCCTGGCTGGCCTCAGATTCACTGTGTAGCCTAGGCTAGCCTCAAATTTGAGCCTGTCTTCTTCCTGCCTCAGCCTTCTAGGTGCCTCAGGTATCTGTCACCATACTCACCAGAAATTTGTGGGTCTGTTATTGTTGCAAAAAAAGATTTTTATTATTAAGCAAAACAATTTCAGATGATATCTGTCATTCATCCACCATCTGCTTCCGTCTATATGACCCTCCATGCTGACTGCTGATTCTATATGACCCTCCATGCTGACTGCTGATTCTATATGACCCTCCATGCTGACTGCTGATTCTAACTAGACTGCTTAGTTTGGGGTATTAGTTGTCACCTGATGTTGTTAACCCCACAACCCCAGATTAGTCCTTCTTCATACCAGTGCAGTCAGTTTTAAATGTGCCTTTTATTCTTTCACGTTTAATTATTGTGTAAGATAAACACTGTTGTATTTTCAGGAAGAAGGGTTGTGGGTTTATGAACTGCTCCTCCATCTGCAGCCACAGGGAGCAGAGCTCTCCTGTGTCCAGATTGCCTTTTGTTTCCTGTTATTTTCACATGACTTTTCTCACTTCACATCCAAAGGATCTATGACCAGACTAGTTCTCTAAAGGCATCATTTAATCCCCTGACACATGCTTCTGGAGCCCGTACCTTGTACCCAGGCCCGTGCTTCTCTAGGAGTAGATGCTGGGAAACAGCACAGTGCTGTGCGTGTCTGTAGGAGTGCTGACATGTAACGAGGGCTTGTGTTTTAATGTAATCTCAACTCTGTATGTCCTTTCCAGTCAAATGGAATTATGAATTATCCATCCTCCCTCCAAAAACAGGTGAATTAGATTGATCTGGCAACATGTATAAGAACTTTCAAGTCCCACAGCTGTGTTGGTGTCTGCAAAGAACATGGACCCTGGATGGTGTTATGCCTCATCTTAATTAAGTCAATATCATGTTCCTGTGAAATACTTAAAGAGCTTAGAAAGCCTTAAAAAAATCTCCTTAGAAATACAACTGCTTCATTTATGCCATATATCCTGAAGTAACGCTGCTTCTATCTTAAATATGGAAGGGGCGGGAAAGTTTGGAAGAGTCCCTTTCTTACCTCGTGTATCAGATGTGAACCTGCCATTTCCATCTTAGTGAGTGGAGAGAAGATAGGCAATCAGTGTAAAACTCTGTGAGTCTTAGGAGAGATACTGAATTAGTGTTCTTGAAGACTTACCACTTATTACCTGTGGCTTTTGTTGTTGTTAAGTGGTTGCTAGAAATACAGGACCATTTTTCTCCAACCTAATGCAAGAGTAACTTATCACTGTAATGTTTTCACCATATTTCTAACACAGTACATTTCACCTGTTTCTAAAGTTGTTAACGGCCACAACATACTGAACTCAATAACCTCTTTAAGAAGTAAATTTGCTTCTTGAACTGGGGAGTGTAGCCCAGTAACAAGTTAACAGTGTTAACTTGTTAGTATATGCATGGAGGGCCTGGGCTCAGTTCATGACACCCTTAGCACCTTCCCCTCCAAAAAGGTAATTTTCTTTCTTAAACTCAAAGATAGGTAGGTAGGTAGGTAGGTAGGTAGGTAGGTAGGTTAGGCAGGCAGGCAGGCAGGCAGGCAGACAGACACCTTAGAAAATAGTGATTTTATTCACATTTCTAAAATAAATGAACTGTCGTATATAGAAGGCTTTCTTTTAGGCTTAGATAAGTCTTGAGGGATGGTGTGCTCTGAAAACAGCTGTTCTTCAAGAACTGAACTTTAAAAAATCTCCACTATAGGAAATAGCTGGCCACTCAGTGGCAACACCCAAGTGTTCACTCAGAAGCATTTATTAGGTGATATGAAGCCTTCTCTTTAGACTTTTTTCTGTAACTTCATTATTATTTTCCTTTTAAAGAACATATTTGAACATTCAAAGCAAAATTTTCCCTTGTGGAAAACATGCTTGTTCTTTGAGCTGCTTACTGATAAACCAAGAATAGTATAGCCTCCAGTTCTCACCATCTTTGTTATAAGGAAAGGACATATCATAAATTCAGAACTTAGAAATGGCCATAAAGTCTGAGGGTGCATGTTTGTACTTTGTATTTGGAAGTGGTCTGGAGTTCCCTCGTCCTTTCTTTGGCTCTTGCTGCTTCTGTTTGGTGTTTTGGTGTTTCAGACAGATTTTTGCAATGCTTTTGTTGAATCACTTAGGAAAATCCTGAAGAGAGTTGCTTGGCCCTTGAGAAACCGGCTGCCACTTACTGAATTCTGGTAAAATGGGAATGGTGTTATCACAAGATGATCTTTGGAAAATCTGCTATTTTGAGTAACTGATTACAGAATTTAATGCTCCAAGGCCTGAAAGAATTTCACTTGGACTAGTGCCGAGATCTGCCTTGTTCTCTGTGTGCATGTTGTCTGGTGTCACTCACCCTGATCCATCAGAATCACCTTATGCCGTTTTTTCTTTCTGTTGTTTTGATAGCCGGGTTTCCCTCATCCACCCCCTCATCACCACTCCAGCCTGATCTCCTCTCCGAGCAACTTTGAGCACATCTATCACATGACTGTCAATTCTGCTGAACAGTTTCTCTCTCCTGACTCCATAAACCCTGGGTACCCCCCATCCCTGCGCTCTGCCCCTGGTACACCACACTCTGTGACTCTGAGGGTATGAACAGCTGAGTTGAGCTAATCTTGACTAACTGTGTGTGCATTTTCTAACCACTGAGGTGGCGCCTTTGGGGAATGGTTACCCTTTCCTCCTCAGCTGCCAGCTTCAACTACTTTTTGACTTCTGTTTATCCTCCTCTTTGTCAGTCTATCTTGTTCCTTCTTTTGAGGGAAATATGGAGGAATAAAGGATTTCTGTATTGATTTTGAACTGGGTATAGAGGGTGATCTTTGATGGATAGAGTTTTCCCATTATGGTATTTTCCATTCTGGATACCATGTTAAAACAAAACCAACCAACCATAAACAGCCCAAACTGGGTCTTTGTTAAAACACAGAAAAAGGGCTCCCTGAATTTCTGTGGTTTTTCTTTTTTAGCTGCTCTTTACCCTATAGCCACTTGAGTTCAGAGAAACGCTTTCTCGATGATAAGATTATGGTCTGTGTAGAGCTCATCCATAGTCCTGCCATCAGCCTCCAAAGTAATGCTGTAAACAGTGACAAGGACCAGGAAAAGTCAAACATGAAAGTCAGCTTTTACAAATCTTTGAGTTGCTGTTGTGGATTTAATTGCAGCCAAGACACAAGATAAGAAAAGTCAGCAAGGACAGCAAAGAAGCTGCTCCACTCTGAAGAGGCTCGTGCTGCTGCCCTTCCATTCGGTCCATGCCTCTGTCAGCATGGGCCGTGCGCTGAAGCTGCTGTTACACTGTCTGCCTTTCCAAGTAGTGTCTGTGTATATGCACGTTAAGGGAAGTTAGTTTTATGAATATTAAAGTATTTGGGTTATACCATGCAAACTTATTTTCTATGATGCCCCAGGTTAGTAAATTAGTAACATTGACTTTTAAATTTTGTAACATAGTAATTTTCCAGTAAGAAAATTCGAGGGGTTAAAAGATTATTTTTGTTCTTATTATCAACTTACTTTGATAAAGTAAGTAACAATACCATCTGAATACCTTACTTGACAGAATTACCTTAGTTTGCTTGGGAACTGGAAGTGGATTCCAAGGACTCCAAGTCAGTCAGGACCTGCTTGTGAGAGAAACTACTTACCATAGCTTGAGTTGAATGGTCCCAGTCAGTGGGAATTTGCCCTACCTTAAGCATAGTTTTAACTAAAAAGTCCAAATCCTGGGTTTCTTGTTATATTCTAATGGAGTTTATATCATTTGACTAAATGATAAGCTTTTTATATAAAACATTTTTCTGTTTATCATTACTTTAGTTGTTTAGCTTTCAGTTGTAGTTACTAGCATATTTTGGAAGCTTACCCAAGCTTCCAAAGTAGAGTAGGCTTATCTTGTAGAAGGGGTGGGCAGCCCATCTTAGCCTTGAAGTGCAAATTGACTGGCAGTTCCTGTCTCCAAGGAGCCCCTCTTGGCCATGCTTGCACACACATATTGCTGTACATCAGAAGCTTGCTTCTGTGTGTGCAAATGCTAAAATGCTGCCTTTGACTGTCTTGGCTTTAATTTTTTTTAATTTTCTTAGATAAAATAAGGCAAAATATTTTTAAACAAATACTGCACAGAATTGCATGGACTTTGCAGATCTGGTCTAGGAACCAAAATAACAATGCTGATTGCTTCTCTTAGGATTGTAGGTGTTTGGGAAAGCCCAGTGTGCAGACATACCCAGAGTCATCACCCCTTCATGGGGTTTTGCAGTCACATAGTAATTGACTGTTCAGTTCTAGACCTTCTTAACAGCCAAAAAATTATGAACCACACTACTAGATTTCCTTTTTGCCTTTGTTGTTTCTGCCTCTTTTCATACATCCTGTTTAAATTATTTGCTCTTTCCCTTTCTGTAGCGGAGGCAGCTTTCCTTTGATAAGTATTAGCATCTGGGTTACCTTAGTAAAGAGTTATAAGAACTGGGGACTGTGTCATGGCTCAGTTGGGAAAAATGCTTGCCATCAAACCTACAACCTGGGTTTGAACCCCAGAACGTTGACCACCTGTATAACAATGAGGAAAAAGCTTGTTTAATGAACTAATTAATGCTGAGGAAACTTGTGGCTGGTTAATATATTTTCCAGTCCATTTTGATTAATCTTATTGGTCTTGACTGCCATGGTATCTGCTGAATGTAGGAACAAAGCAGAAGTGAGATGGCGAGGGTAAAGGAGCCTGCTGCCAAGCCTGGCGATCTGAGTTCAAAACCCAGGACTCACATAGTGGAAGGAGAGCAACAACTCCACAGTGTTGTCCTCCGACCTTCACATATGTAGTGGCATGATATGTACACACACACGTACACACACACACACACACACACACACACACACACAATTTTTTTAAAGGAAACTACAAACAAAACAGATCCTCAGGTCAGCTCCTCTCAAAAGAGTACCACGTGCTAGCTCCATCAGACTTGCTTTTCTTAACAAATGCATTCTTCAGGAAAGTCATAGAGTTGAAGTTTGGACTACTTTTTAATAACTGTTTCTTTGTATTTTCTCAACATCTTGTGTAATGCATGCCCATCACTTCTAGAAGAATTCTGATGTAATTTAAAAGGAGGTTAGTGATACGAATGCTCACAGACAGGCCATGTAAATCATTAGCTCAGGGCAGGAGGGCCTCCATAGTGCAGGCACCTATGTGCTGTTTGACTTCCTACCCCACCTCTACTCCCAACCCCCTTTGCCTCAGAAAATAGTTGCAGAAAGGAGGTGGGACTGTGTCCACACAAGAATAAAGTGCTGTAAATGATAAAAAAAAAAACGTAGTAATGTGACCTGTGTGGTCTGCCCACTCTAAGGTTTAGAAAATAGATTCAAATGTCTGCAGTCTCTGGGTTTGGGTCAGCCCCAGCACCCTTCCTTCTAGTCTGAAAGCACTGAGCAGGTCCCAGACTCATGCTTCCTGGGACAACTGTTACTGAGCTATGATGTGCAACATGAGATTTCATGTTCCAGAGCTAGTAAGATTTATGAACATGACACATGGTGTTAGAAAGAAATTTTTGTCAAGAAAATAATTTTAATTGACTCTCCCCCAAATAGGCTGAGTCAGGTTTCTTAAGTAAATAATCTCATCTGTAGTCAAAGCAGTTTCTGTTATCTGCAAATGTCCATGTAATTCCGCACTCCACTTACAGCTAACCATATAACATTTCACAACCAAAAACTGCTTATTGGGGTAAGTACTCCTTGACAGGGATAAGATTCATGTTATCTCAGGGCTTCAAAGTCCTGCTGGTGAGAAAGACTGGGACTCTCATGCCCTGTATCACTCTGTTCAAGAGGTCTTGAGAAGCAGAGTGAAAGGCAAATGCCTGCACAAAACCTTTGTGTTTCTGGCTGAAGACTATGCCTCTCTTTTGTGTTTTAGAACCCACGGCCTCAGGAAAGCCGGACAGTATTCAGTGGCTCCGTCAGCATTCCCTCCATCACCAAGTCCCGCCCTGAGCCAGGCCGCTCCATGAGTGCCAGCAGTGGCCTGTCTGCACGTAAGTGGCCAGGTGGGGAGGAGCTTTGCCAGATGCTCATGGTGGGGAAGGAAGAGGAGAGCTGAGGAGGAGGTGAAACCACAAAGAAAAGGTATCCCTCGGGACAGTTCAGCTACCTGCCTGGGAACAACTGCCTGGTAGAGATGGTGGGGAACTATATCTACCTGATGGACCATACATGCCCATCACAGCGTGCCTGAGTGTGGGAATGTGTGCACTCAAGAGTTCATCAGATAGTGGCTACAGACTGCTATCAGTGAGTGTCCAGCAGCAGACACTGTCTATACATTTGACACCAGAGACCTCAGCAATGCCTTTACTCCCAAACCACTGATGGCCAAGAAGCTTAAATATACTATATCCATTTTCCTCTTTCGAAGTCCTTCAGTCAGAAAACATAGTCACTACCCTATATTCTTGGATTTCCTTGATATTTTGTTGCCATTTATTCAGAAAACACTGGTTTCTATACCTTCTTTGTTTCCAGGTATCATTAGGCTCAGTTGTGCTTATATTCATTGTTACGTGACAGCATAACCACCTACCCCATAACTTAGAAACACAAAATAGCAAGCAGAAAAGCTGGGTGTGGCAGCACAGGCCTGAAGCAAGAGAATGGCAAGTGTCCAGTCTGGCCCATGTAACAGAACTCTGACAAGGTTGGAGGAGGTGGGGAAGAGAAGGAGGGAAGAGAGGAGACAGACACCACAGCATGCATTTTACTTACTATCTCACATGGCTTCTGAGAGTCAGAAAGGTTTGGGCTTTTTCATAACATTGCTGGCATCTTTATTTACCAATCAGAAATAACTTGGGGGCAGGATCACTTAGCATCTAAGTGCAGACTCTCACTTTTCTGGGGCAGCTAGTCTTGGGGGCCCAGTGTTAGTGTTAGAATACAAGCAGCATCAGGCCAACCCCCCTAGCAAGGACCTAGGTGCTGTATTTCTTAGAACACCAGTTTACAAGCAGTACTGGTAGTCTCTGGAAGGAGTCAGGGAGCGTGACGGCTGTGAGGGGCTTAGGGAGGGAAGAGACCTTGGTGCCATGGAGAACAATCTGCCAGCTGTGCTTCTGCAGTGCCGTTCTGAACACTAACACAGTCGGTGGTCAATAGCTGGACATGCAATTGTCTGGTGACATTTTTGTTGGATTCTTAATGTAAAAGGCATTTAACAAGATCAATAAAACGTTGAAACAGTCTATAACTTAGTGTTCTTGAATAATTGTGAAACTTAATAAAATTAAAACTTTTCTTAAGCAAAGTCTAAAACAGTGAGAAACATGGAACACTTTTGAAGGAACACTAACAGTACTGGTCAAGTTTCTAAGGGTTCTTCTCTTGTTGTCAGTACCACTGCTCCCCTTGCTCTATGTCCCAGCTCTTTGGTCAAAGCCTTTGAGTGTGCCCTCAAAGTAACCCCCAAAGTGTTGCTCTTAAGCTGGGAAGTAAGAGTGCTTCCTTGTGTTCTTTGTTTTCTATGAGAGTTTCTGAAAGGTCACATTTGCCTGGGGATGGCTGACTGCTGCTGAGAATGCAGCCTCCTAATGTCTTACGAGCCTCTGTGAGGTCTGGGTAGGCAGAGAGGCCCCATTTGTTAGAAGAAAGCCCTATAGTATGTCTATAGTATGACAGATGCTGAGGGCACCCTGGTAAAGATGCCCAAGGCATGGCAGGTGGCACTAGGAGGATTCTAAGGGCATCACGTGGCCTGGGAACTACTGTCTGAACACCAGCAGTCCCATAGCCAGAGGATGACAGAAACACCCTTCAGCACGGGACTTCTGTCTTCTTAGCAGCCTGTATACTTTATAGAGGTGTGGCTCTTCTAAATATGTAGTTCTTCCCAACCGTTGTCCTATAGGGTCATCAGCCCAGAATGGCAGTGCACTAAAGAGGGAATTCTCCGGAGGAAGCTACAACACGAAGCGACAGCCCATGCCCTCTCCCTCGGAGGGCTCTTTGTCATCAGGAGGCATGGACCAAGGAAGTGACGCCCCTGCGAGGGACTATGATGGAGAGGTGAATGGGCCATGGATGGTGGCTACACCTGTCATCATACTTAAGGCCAGTGTTTCGATCAGGCTGATCTACCCCCCTTGCACATGCCTCTGGAGGGATGGCAGGGCCTGTCACGGGTGTGCAGACTGGCTTCCCGGAAGCTCCAGGCTTCTGATCTCTTTTTAATGGAAGGGCTCAGCAATTTTCATGTGTGTGCACCCTCAATCATCTCATAAAGGGGCTGTCTACTGACAGAGAGAGAAACCCACTGGTGGTTGGGTTGTGGTACTGGAGGGGCCTGGGGCAGTGACTGTCCTCTGTTGTTCCTTTGCTTCTCACCAACGCTTTGTTTTGCAGGACTCTGATTCTCCAAGGCATTCCACAGCTTCCAACAGCTCTAACCTGAGCAGCCCCCCAAGCCCTGTTTCACCTCAAAAGACTAAGAGCCTGTCCCTTGAGAGCACAGACCACGGGAGCTGGGATCCATGAGCCCAGGACCAGTGACTGCAGGCAGGGACTCTGTACTCCCACTCCGACAACGTGCCTGGCAGCAGCTTTGCCTTCTGCACAGCTGCAATGAGGATTCCTCCACAGCCAGGCCCGCTTCACCCTCCCCCCCTCCCAGTCCCCCAGGTAGCTTCTGTAGACAGACTGCGCAGACGCAGCGCTAAGAGTAGACCGGTTGTGTTCTCACCGTAGCCCTCACGTAGCGCCCAGCAGCCTCCATGAGCGTCAGCCGACTGTTGCCAGGAAATAAACCCTCACAAATTAAAACAATGCATATTTTACTACAATACAGAGTTTAAATAAATACATAGATGTAGAAGTTAAATACTGAATGTAAATAGTCAAAGAAGCATCTTGTGTTTGATGAAAGATGGATGCATATATAAGAAAGATCATTTAATTTAAAGAAATGTGTTGTTTGTCTGTTTCCCAGCTATGTCATATACAGGGTAGAAAGGCCTCAAGTGACATTTGTAAAGAGATCAAAAGTCAGGTCCCTGTGGTGTCTGTCCTCAAGCAGAGGCAGGCTGAGGTCACAGGGAAATCTAAGAACTGTTTAGAGATGAGTCCCATTGGTGGGTGTGACCTGGACACCATCAGTGGCGGTGAAGCCACTCGGAGGCACACTTGCCTCCAAGTGTGCATTTTTCTCCAGCTATCAGTTAGAACATGTCCCCCACTTACTATATTTTGATATCTCGCACAGATGAATGTGAAACAGTTCTGTTACCTTCCAGCCCTTCCCATCATAATGGGAAGTTCATGGCTTCTGAGGATCATGGAATGGTTAGGCAGCTGCTTTTTTGTCCCGGCTAACCCTTACCCCTCTCTCGGTTGCGGTGAGGAGTCTCTGGACTAAGCACAACTTCCCTGTTTGGTTAAGGGTGGCTGTGAACACACTCCTGGGGAAAGTTCCTCCTTACTACATCATGTAAAACCTCAGAAGGAGAGGCTTGAACAGCCTTGACCAAATATGCCTTCCCACGTGAGGAGACAGTGGGGGCCTGAGGTGTGCTGGCCACCGTGGACTGAACCAGCTTTCCCTCTGGATATCTGCTGCTGCACTTGTCCCAGGAAGCAAGAGGAAGACCAGGATTCCTCTACTCACACGTCCACCAGCTAAGAACACAGGAGGGAAAAGGCGGAACGTAGTGCCCAGGGAGTAAAGAGGCCTGTCGCTTAATTCTCACCTCTTTGGGGTTGGAAGAGCCACTGTTTCCCAGCCACATCTAAAATACATTTCCAAAGTCACTAACCTACCAGGCATGCTGATCATCTGGCCCTGTGGGTCAGATTCCCCAGTCACACGGCTTTATGGAGGGAGGGTGTTAGAGAGTTCAGGGAGGGGAGATGGGGTCTTTGTAAGCAGCAACTTTGACAGACACTCTAGAGTCTCCAGCTCCAACATAAGCACGTTCTCTTTCGGGCAGGCGCTGTGCCATTATCCGTTTATCCTTTTGGAAGTGAATCATATAAAAATAACTTGTGTACACCCAAAACAAGGGTCAGATCTTTAGTTTGGTCAGAGCCTATTATTACATCTGCTTGAACTGGGCACTTTGCTTAAAAGAGCTGCCTCCCCTGCCCTCTGTCCTCTCCCTCTTCTTTCTCCTTCCCCCAGCAGAAACCTGACCAGGCTGAGCCCGACTGAACTCCACACCCTGAGCCTTTGGTTTGTAGTTTTGACAACCAATTGTGAATTTTTGTTGCCTACAGGTGCTTGTTTGTAAAAGAACCCTTTTAGTCTAAACCTCCACATCCCTAAAGCCCAGCTCCACTAGTTGCTCCCACCCCTGCTCTGCCCCAAGGACCCCTGCAGATTGGTGGTTTTCCCACTGCAGTCAAAGAACTTGTCAGAAGCTGGGGGAAAGCATGGCGAAAGACGACTAATAAGTTTCCAGGAGACAGAAACTAAGATTCCTCAGAACACTCAACAGCAAAGATTAGAGACAAGAAAGGCCTTGGGTTTAGGCCCTTCTTGACATCACTCTCCCTACCCCACGCAAGGTATATGAAGGTGTGTGGCAGTGGGAGTTGATCCAGAAATGGAAAAAAAATTAAGAGACATTTCTGATACAGTATCTATGGGTTAGTACTTGGTGCTATGTCCAGGCGGTATGCTAGCTACCCTTTGAATTCTGGCTTATCTGTTATGTGGGGTTTGGGTGGGTATACAAAATATATTACAGGGTTTGGTTTTGGTTTTGCCAAAAACAAGAGCCTTCCTATCAATGATTGCTAAAGCAGATCTCATTCATATATACATATATGATTTTTAAAAATTTGTATGCATATTCTCTGTGCTTAGCCATTTGCGTTCTTTCCCAGTGAGCACAGCGTTAAGACTGAGGATAACTGTGATGGCCTGTTTGGCTTTCCAACGAATAGCCAAGCTTAGGGAACACATCTGGAATCCTGTCATTCCCACCAGCCCTTCCTCAGCTATTCCTCCTCCATGTTGGAATCCTGTCATTTTGTTAACTTAGTGGCCATGTTTATTTCTAGGCAAGTTCAGCTGTCTTGTGTAGGTCCTCAGGTATCATTAAAGAGAGAGCAGAGCAGAGGGACAGCCTCCATTCCCAGTGCAGCAGCCCACATGCAGCCTTGACAGTGACCACAAATTCAATTCTCCCAGCTCAGCAGACCCAGCTGACGCCCCTCCCCAACACAGGTGCACTTAAAACAGCTGCCACCCTGCTGTAGGTCACAGTCTGCTGCAGCCCAAGACCACTGGCCCCTTCCAGTCCCACCTGGCCCGCTGCATTGCATCACGCTGTGCCCTTGCAGTGGCTCATACCTTGTTGGGACCTTCAGTCTTCACAAGTCCAGAGTTCCGTGCAGAGCCCTGCTACAGTGAGTGTCTCCTGCCAGCTCCAGTACCACTCTCCCGTCCCAGGGACAGCTTTACACAGAGCCCTATTTCAGTTTTAGGAGACTGACTGCTGTAAGTCAGCCTTGATGCCATTGAAAATAAAATGACCTCCTTATTTGATAGAATAACAACATTTATTTTATACATTTTTAGGATTTTTTTCCTCATTGTAATATTGTACAGTTTTGCATGGCCTCAGTGTAATCATTTTTGTTAAGAATATCATGCTGACCAGTGTGTGTGTGAAGGGAAGACACTGCTTTGGCCTCTTAGTCTCACTTGGTTTGTTTTCATCCCTGATGTCCTAGGGAATTTCCTCAGAGTATCTGCTACCGAACTATGATGTGGATTCTTTTGCACAGAACTATTTAAAGTGGGGTGGTCAAAACTGTAACAAAGGATTTCTCACCAATATTTTATGTTGGCATCACCTAATTAACAGACTTTGATGTACTGCAATAAAATAAGGAACTGTTAGCATTGAGTACTTTGTTTCTTTCCTTATGTGAAGAGTATGAGGCGTTCTTGGCTCGCTGGTCCCTCCCCTGGACCTATTCTGCATATCCCAGAGAACACAGGTCAGTGTGCTCCCAGGGTTTGATCTAGGTCTTGAAACTCAGGTAAGAATAACATTCAAATCCATGGAAGTGCTCAACTTCCCTTCTCTGATGAGCCAGGCACTGCCTTAGGCTCCTGGGTCACACTCCACAGGCACTTAAGGCTCAGGGCTGACTGTCTACAGTGTGAGCCTGGAAGGTAGATCTGTTTGGATGAGTGAGAATGGCACACAGGCCAGGCTGGGTGACCTTATCAGAGACCCCAAAACTGCAACTGGAATCCTAGCCCTCCTAGCCATTGAGACTCTTTCAGGTCTGCAAGTCACACTGGGCTTCAAAGGCAGCATCTGTGGAGACAAGGACTTGGCAAACATTCCACAAAGAAATGGACAAGAATACCATATTCTAGTAAAACTTAAGCGCAGTGAGCCCAGTGTGGTGCAGGGGTGGCAGTGAGGCAGGCCCCTAGCCAGGACAGATTTAGCATGGGCTTTAAGGGCACACTGTTCCTGTCCTAGGTCCTAGCCCCACCTCTCAGGGCCTGTTCTATAGCCTCTGAACCCACAAACTTGTTTTCTCTAAAATGCGTAAGAAACTTGGTGGCTCAAAGTTGTGATCCTAATGACTTGAGGGGGCGGGGGGTAAGCAGGAGGATTACAAGTTCAAGGCCTGCTTGAGCAACTTGATGAGATCCTGTCTCAAAAGTAAAAGGGCTCAGGGTACAACCAACTGGTGGTAGAACACTCACTGTAAGACATTAGGCTCAATCTCCAGTGCCGTTAAAGCCCTGAGTCAGACATGTATACATGGAAATTCTTAATATCTGCCTATGTTGCCATGGTCTGTCCCCATCAAGAGCATCAGATAAAGGCCACACCACCTGGGTCCTAAGTGGGGCCACCTCATTCCTAGGATTCATGGAACACATAGGAAATGGCAGTCCCCAACACACTTCTTTATTGAACGCAAAGGTATGAATGTGTAATTACAAGACATACAAAGAAAGAGCCTATGTTTATCCCCTGGGGTGGGGTAGTAACTACCTCTCCTGGGACATGCTGGAGCCCTGCTGCTCATCCAGTGTCAGCCCTGCTTTTAAAAGGGTCTGTTGTCCATGCTGAGACTGAGCTAGGGTGGCTACCCTACTGTCCTGAGCTGCTAGCCACAGGCTGGGGTGGCAAAGGGCAGGGACCTAGGCTCACCCAGAAACACACAATTCATTCTGCATAGCCAACTCTACCCCAGAGGTGGCGGGGTGGAGTTTAGTACTGCTTTGTTCCGTGTCCCTGGTGTACATCACAGCAGGGAGGAGATGGCAAAAGAAGCCTGCCTTTTTGTCTAGACAGTGCAGAAGCAATAGGAGGGTCTCTGCAGTGCTCTCTTCCTATTCATGGAGGCCGTGACTCTCTTTCAACATCCTCCCTCTGCCTGGCTGAGCCTGAAGGAAGGCACGACCCCTAGTCAGCCTGGCCCAAAGCTCACTTACTGCAGCCCAGACTTCATCCTGCAGTAGTTACTGTATGCTTCCTCAAACATGGCCTTGCAGGGGAAGCGGGCCTTCAGCTTAGAGCAGATGAGGAAGGAGCCCCCCATCTTGCGGTGCAGAGAGTAGGTCTCCTCTGGTGGCGGGATGAGACGATGTTTCAGCATGATGGGGATCAGGTTGTGGATCTTCTCAGTAGTGCTCTGGGTACCAAAGTCAAAGGGCTCTTCCGAGGCGAAGGCCTCTCCCAGGATGAGGATGGCATCCAGGTGGGCATCCTCCATGGCCTATATCAAGAGGAAGGGCAGAAATGACTGAGTCAGAAGCCCCTAGATCCAGGTCTTACCATAGCTCTTCATCTCAGTGCCAAATTCTAGAGTCTGGAGGGCATGAGAGGTGACAGGATGACTGTGGTCATGAACAGTGTTAGTAGATAACTAACATCAACCCTCAGGAGCCAAGCAGACACAAGACTGCATGTGAGACACCGTGCAGTGCAGGGCCTTCGCTCCTCCCACAGGACCCACTTTTGTCTTTCAAAGTTCTAGCCAAAAACACAGGTCAGACTAGGCAGTGCCTGGGCTCAGCCACTGTGGAGACTGCTGTGGGATGGGAGCCTGCCTAGCTCTGAGCACACGGCAGTCATCACCTGCCAGGCACAGGATGCATGAGAAGTAACTCAGCAGCAGAGCACTGGAGGGACAAGGGGCACTCAGGTCTGAGACAAATCAAGCCAGCTGCACAGAGGAAGCAAGTGGCCATCTTAGACAGTGGGAAGGATACAAAGGAGGACCACCCATCTTGGTTGGTATACTCCTACTGGTGTGAGCCCAGAAAGTCAGGGAGGGTCAGATCCCTCATAGCTGCTGGGTGGAAAGGCTCTAAAGGCCTGGGTTCCTCTGTCCATCCAAACAAGCCGTCCTCTGTCTCTTGGTGACAAGGGCAGGCAGGCAGCACTAGGAAAACCCTAAGCAGAACAGTCCTGCTCTATCCTACATACATCCTACAGATTTCAGTTTTCAGAATGTTTGAGGGCCCACATGGGCCCCCAAGAGTAGCTGGTTCTTAGGTACCAAAGGAAGACACAGTGGTTCCTACAGGAAGCTGGGCCTGACTCTCCCAATGAGCCTGGGTGCTTCACTCACCTTAACCTCATAACCAGTAAGGAACTTCATCTCTATTGATTTCTTTAGCACTGCCCCCCTGTCCTGGTCAGCAGCAGCCCGGATGACCTGGGAAGAACAGAGAGGCTCCTGCCTACCCTACCACAGGCTTCCCAAGTGCTTCCCAACCCCTGGCCTGGGATCAGAGGTAGCTAGGTGGACTTGACAGGCTGTGGCCAGCTCCAGATGGCTCTCCCACAAGAGCATTGGCTCTTGGCCTTTGAAATACATGGGCCAGGGCCCCCATTCCTGTTCTTACCTGAATGTAGAGGTCAGTAAAGGATCTGTCATATTCTCGAGTCGCCCCAAAATCCAGGAGAGCCACCTACAGATGGAGATACCACACTGAAGCTTTGCCCTGTGCTGTTGTAAGCATAGGGCAGAGAGAAGGAGGATTTCTTCAGGGTAGGAGCCCAGGTCTCTGCTGACAACCTTCACATGAGGCTCAGGATAGGGCTTACCTTGTGCTGCTGAGGGTCATAAAAGAAATTGGACCAGTTGGGGTCGGTCTGCATGACATGGAACTCAAACAGCTCTCTCAGGCACAGCACTAAAATGTTGTAGCAGATCTGGGGACAGGATGGGGGACAGACTAAAGTCTTTGTCTCCTGAACCCTACCCTAATTGCTCCCAGTGTGCTGCCCCAAGAGAAAGATGCAGTCACTACCCCTTGTCCACCCTCCCCAGGGAAGGCTTAGGGTCTCTGTTCACACCATTAGGTTCCCAGCACACCAGGTGAACACACTTGGGCACACCTCATTCCGCACTTCCTGGCTCAGTCCCTCTGCCTGGTCCAAGGGGAAGCCTGTTATCAGCTCTGTGGTCAGCACATGGGGACTGCATAGCTCATCCACAATCTCAGGCACATAGAAGAAGGGGTGGTCCTTCAGCAGCTCCCTGTGTGGAGAGGGAGCTCACATCCAGTCTTGACCCCCCCCAGGCCCCAAATGGAGAGCCCACCACAAGGAAACCTACTCTGTAGTGGGGAGGATGTGGCCACCCCTGGCTCCAGGGCCATCGACCCTTAAAAACAGATGTATGTGCCCACTTGGGTGCCCCTCAGCCTCCCAGGGTCCCCAGAAGAGCCACACCTGAACTTCTTGGCATAGGCAGCCTCCCTCTGATAGTCACACTCAAGGGTAAGCTCCCGCCTCAGCACATCGATCAGGTGCTCAGGGAACAGGCCTGTGGCAGAACTGGGGCATCAGGTGGGAGAAGGGGCTCTGCAGGGTTTTCCCTGGCATTCCCGGAACCAAACCCAAATGCCCACTCACCCCTCCAACCTCATGCCTCATGCCAACCCAGCCTTACCTTCTGGAAGCATGTTACTCATGTTCAGCACAGCCATGAGGTTGTTGACGTCACTGTTAATGCTCTGGGCCACACCAGGGTACTGTAGGGAGAGAAGGGATGTTACCTAGGGAGGCGACAGGGCAGGCTGTCACTGCCCATTCGCTTCCCAGTCATATCCAGCCAGTCTGGATGCAGCAGAGCCAAGACTAAAGGTTGCCGTAATCTGACCCATCACTACCCTGCTCTCCATTTCTCCTCATCCTACCCCAGAAAAAGCCACTGGCTCCAGCCTGGCCCCCAGAAAGTCATCTTGTACCAAGACTGCCGGAGGCAGCTTTGTCCCTCTAACTCCTCGTCTAGCAAACATGTTCCTAGCACCCAGTGCAGCCAGGTGCAAAAAAACAGAAAGACGGGTGTCTCCAGAGACATGGGAAAGACTCTACTCTCAAGTCCTGTGAAGGTACACAGAGCCATCTACCTGAATCTTCATGGCCACCTCACGGCCATCCTTCATGCGGGCCAGGTGCACCTGCCCTATGGAGGCAGCTGCAAAAGGCCGCTCTTCAAAGTACTCCAGCTTGTCCCTCCAATGGGGGCCCAGGTCACTGTTGAGGGTTTTCTGGAAAGAGGCCAAGGAAGACAGGAGTACAGCCTGGTTACCTGGGATACCCTACTATGCACCCAGCTTGCCCCACCGATTGCTCTTAGATGCCCAGGGTTGAACAGTGGTTCCCCAGCCCATCTCCTGCCAGCCTCACCGTCATCTGTTTCAGTGGCATGAAGTCAGCACTCTGCCTCACCCGCTCAAAGATCTTGGCCAGGTGAGGGTTGATGAAGGCATCATCTGGAAGACAAGAGAGGTCAGAGTGCAGCGTCCGTTAGGGATGTACACAGGCCAGTAGGGCTGCCCAGGTACCACTTGTCAGTATGGCCTCCTGGGTAAAACAGGGCCACTAAGCTTTGTTATCCTGAGATCTGAAGCTCAGAC